TTTGGTTGTGTTTATGCGAGGTAGAAGGAATCGTCCACCCCGAGAGGAGTCGCCACCACTTAACCTCTACGTTGAGCTTAACATAGACGAACCACAACCGGAACCCGAGCCCATACCCGAACCAATGGCGGATCAACGAGAACAACAACCACCACCCCCGAACATGAGGTACTTTGCACGACCAATTATCGGAGACAACACTTCGTGCCTCGTGCTCGGTGAGGCGGCCCGAAATTATGACCTCAAAGCCATTCACCTCAACCAACTTCCCTCGTTTTATGGCCTCGCACAAGAGGATGCTCTTAACTTCATTCGGGATTTCTATTCCACCGTCAATACCTTCCCTCTACAAGGCCTAACCGAGAACCAACTTCGGATGAGGTGCTTCCCATATACCTTGAAGGACCGAGCCAAGACTTGGTTCATGACGTTGCTACCGAACTCACTCAACAATTGGGAGGCCGTTTACGAAAAATTCATGGGCAAATACTATTCACATCAAAAGACCACCGACCTCCGAGCGCAAATGGCTAGCTTCAGCCAAAACCCGGGTGAAACTTTTCATGAGGCTTGGGAGCGATTCAAGGGCTATCAACTTCAATGCCCCCACCATCACTTTTGCTTGGGAGTGTTGAATCAATTTTTCTATGACGGACTTCACCAAACTCTTCAATACATGGTTGATCATGCGGCCGGTGGAGATATCGGGAGCCACACGGCCGAGGAGATCTATGAATTGTACGAGATGTTGAGCGAAAATTACCAATGAATAGAGTGTTTAGGATTTATTTCTCTCGTTTTGTGTTTCTGGACAATTGAATAGCAACCAAAGCTCCGAATAGCCTTCCTTAGAGAACGACCCGAGTCGGGTAACTCGGTTACCACATACCCACAAATTTATACTAAACAACTTCTAATATACTGAACATATACTTCCTATACACACCACATATACTGATGCCTATACACACAACATATAATTCATGCCTATACACGCAACATATACTGTGCATATACTGTAGATATACTATAGATATACTCCAATCCAAAGTCTGTGAATTTCAATGTACTAAATGATCTACACATAGTCCAAATACCCTAAAAAATCGAAGAAAATTCAATTTTCCTGCAACCAACCCATCATCTCCCCCCGATCCTGGTGACGCCGAAACCATCTTTAGAGTACGCCGACAGTAATTGAGGAAATTATCCTCCGGAAGATATTCTCTTCTCCCTCAGTCGCAACAAGGGGCTCTGATTTTGCACCGTCTCTTATAATGCTCCCGTCTGACACGAAAGCAAAACAAAATTCAAGTTATTTACAATTTTCCATCCAATACAGAAATTAAATGAAAACCAAACAAATAAATAATGAAAATTTGGGGAAAAAAGGGGACAAACCCATGAAGCATTTTCCCAAAATCTTCTCTTGGACCATGATCATCCTCCTCGCGACTTTCACTTTTTTCAGCGGTGTTGAAGGAGACGTATTTGGCGGAGAAGCCGTGGGACGAGGCGTGGTGGCGGGCCTCGTCGCGGATGTTCTCGTATGCGGGGCGGTGGTGCTTGAGTGAGGCGGAGGTGGATGCGGCGGCGAATGGGTGATCGGAGCAGGTGGCTGTGGCGTGGACGGTGAGTGCGGACGGTGAGATGGAGATGGCGAACGTGGGGCGATGGGTGGTTCTTTTGCAAAGAAATTGAGTATCTTCGTGTGGGATTTATAGTGAGCATTTAATTAGTCCGAAAAATCAGTATTATCTCCATATTCCCATATAACAGTTACACGGATAACTCTTAGGTATAATTGCAATAATTTTGGTTTGGTTTAGTGATATTATAAATAAGAATATAATAGTTGTAAAATTGTAATATAAATCATATCTTGTAGTAAGGGGTGTAATTTCCTCTTTAAAAAGTTCTAGAAAATTGTAAGAATGTCCATTGAATACACCTCCCCAAATATAAGTAAACAATGATCATAAATGTAGAAAAATTAATTTTAAACTAAATTTGGAAGCGGATGAGATCGGTTGGGCCAGCCAGCCGTGCGCTAGACAGCTAGTGCTTTACGTGCGCTAGGCTGAATGTTGGTGTTTGACACTGGGCAGGACTCGTTGATTGGTTGTTCGAACTCACGGCTGACTTTATGAGACTCCCTGCTAGGAACCTGTGGTATTATGTTTTACTTCAATTTTGTCAGATAAAAGTAGTCTTACGAGTCACTACTTTCAGGACCTTTCTTTCGAAGGAGGCTTGCATATTTGTAGTCATTGGTAATAACACTATGCAAAGTTGCAAGTTACTATTATCTTGAATGTACATACCTCCACTTTATTTAAGTTGCAATTTCATCTTAAGAAGAGTGTACATACCTCCACTTTATTTTTGTTGGTTTCCTCATTATTTTTAGTCATTTTTTAAATTTTACATAAACCATAGTAACATGGTTCAGATACGAACACGATAGAGTTCACCTAAGTGGTTCAGTTAAAAAACCGTTCCTCATATATTTATTGTCCAATCTATGAAGACCACTTATTGTGTTCCATACTTAATTGCTAAGGGGATTTTCGTTATCCCGGCCTTAATTATGGCAGTTGAACAAGTATTTAGCGAAGGAGGATTTACTCTAGACGTAAGACGACCGAGACGTTAACGCTACAAAACTTAGAGGCTCAAATGTTGTTGATTGATTGAAAGAAGGCCGAAAGAGTGGCATANTGAGGAAGAGGAAAAGGGGAAGTTGGCAGAGCTACCGGTAATTCTTGTAGTGGGCCTTAAATTGTTTATTTAACTACTTAAACTTCGTTCATACCCTATTGACAAAAGTATAAAACACACCTCAAGTTCATGTCAACCCTAAAAAAAATCCCAAAAGTCAAGTATTCAACTAAAGCTATGGAGAAGACGAAGAGAAAAACTCAACCTCCCCTTCTCATGACCTCGCACACCAAAGCCCACGACACGCAATCATTCTACAGCCTCTCCGGCAACTGGTCCTGCACGGCCTCCATCGCCAATTTCTCCGGCAGACGCGTGCTCGGCTCCAACCACGGTTGGCTGACCATGGCCGACCCGCTCACCGACGAGTGCTGCCTCTGGAACCCGGAGCTCTCCCAGCAAATCCCTCTCCCCCCACTCCACAATTCGTTCCTCTACGACAGATGCGTCCTCTCGAAACCCCCGACCGAGCCGGGCTGCACCGCCGCTTTCATACGCTCGTGCGGCTTACACCTGTCCGTGTGCTCGGTCGGGGCCCACGACTTTGCCGAGCTGTACCTTAAAGAACTCTCGAACCCCACCCTGATCGTGGCAATCGGCGCAGCCCTCCACGGACAAATTTACGGCGTCATCTACTCCCCGCTTGGCTACCAGCTCGTGACTGTTCGTCTAGTCGACGGGGAAAGAGTCGAGCTCGGGTGGTTAATGTCGGCTGACGGGTCGGGCCCTTGGATACTGCCCCGACCGCAGCCGAGATGGGCCGTGACCGTGCGCCCGAGCTACCTGATCGAGTTGCCAGGTGGCACGGGCAAGCTATTATTCCTAGTCGTGAAGATGTTCTTACCTGAAAATCATGCGGCGGAGGAGAATGGCGTGGGGTTTAGGGTTTTCGGAGTAAATGTCGAGCGGAGAGAGTGTGTGGTGCTCGACCGAATAGATGGGATGACGATTTTTGTTAGCTCGTGCGGAAATGGGTTTTGTCGTTGGTCGGGATCTGGGGGAGGAATCAAGCCGAATTGCATATACTATGCGAATGACGAGGGCCGGTTCGTGTATGTGTATGATTTGGGTGATAGGAGTACAACTCCGCTATTGCTTTGTCCCGAGGCAAAGCGTCGTGGATCGACTAACTATTGGATCGACCTCCCGGACAGTCCCTGATTCTCAATATAGTTATTGAGTAATGTGACCCATTCAGTGAGATATATAGAACAAATAGATAATTATATGAATGAAGATTATTTATTGTTGAATTACTTTTCTTGTAGCAATTTGGCATGTTTTTTTCCCAGATCTCATCATGTTTTTGCCCAAAAGGAACTTAGTCCAGTAATGATCAACACAAAAACCAGAGTTGATCTTCATGCTAACTGAAGACCACAATACGAGAGAATGGTATTGGTTGAGAGTTTCACTAAAGTATTCTACAAATTAAAGTCAAGTACTCATCTCTCAGCCTAATTCATGCACAGATTATTCTCAGGTGAATACTGAATAATTACCTCTTTATTCTCAGGTGAATACAGATTATACTCGTTCTTTTGCTTCTCTCGCAGTTGAAATACATCTCTTTCAAAGCCACATAATCTTCAATTCCAGCTGATCTTTTTTTTCCTTCCTGGCTAGTTCTATTCCTTCTCTTCCTCCTCCTATTGTCATTAAAGTTAAAAAGGAAAATATAAAAAATAAAAAATCATGAACAAAACATTTCTAGACTAATTTACATGGGAACAAAAGAAAATGTTCATCAACCTTGATAAGCTCCTCCTGCATTTCAAGGAAATCCAGTTTCCTCCTCCTTTCGAAAATAGAATCTTCAGATGGAAGTGATATAATGCCCACGGCATCCACAATCTTTTCACATTGTGTTAGCCTCTAAAAGACCAAAACTAAAGATAATTATATTTTGAAACCTAGATCAACAAAGGGAGAAGGCTGTTTGGTTCACTTAAAATTATAACTGTCCAATAAAAAAGTACTTCATAACTGTCATATTAAAGTACCAGTGATAATATTTTTCCATATTACTTGCTTTGCTCCCTTATTCATTTCCACATGCGTTGTACCAGTGATAATAATTTGCCAGCAACTACTAGTAGCACAAATAAAAGCAGATATCATCTTTCAGACCAATCTAACTTGAACTAATTTTTAGTTTCTAATAATTTCTTAGAAAATATATTATTACTACAAGGTCATGTTATTATGCTGAACTGGAAATATAAACACACATAGTTATGTACATTAGGCAATCAAAAGAGCAATTCATAATATGTACATAAAGAAGAAGTCTGAGTTGTTGAACATTCAAGACATTCGTGAAAGGCTATAAATAGATGCATGTAATTCCGCTAAGGATTCCCAACTGGCGCCTATACAGTTGACAGTTAACTGAATTAAGGATAATTTATATGCAAACAACTGGCTACAATCCGCCAATCCTTGTAAGCATACATACAAAACACAAAAGTCATGATTCATGGCACTTGTGTCATTTAAAAGTTTGAAGTTCCAGGTCATTTGTTAATCCATTTAGGGGTGGATCTTTTTTGGAGGGCTTGCAGTAACTTTTGCACTGGTTTCAACGGTTGCCTGGTTCGGTGCCTACGAAAGCTATGTGACAGCAGTGCTGCTTGTTGGCAAAGAGCTTTGTTGACCATTGAAATTGATACGTTCTTTTTGCCGCGGAAGTTGCCAAGCTTGGATGCTCTTCTTGTCCGTGGCAATGACTGTAACACATTTTTCAGCGTTGGGCTGAAGAGTTCTCTATCCGCTTGCTGTTTTATAAAATGGTTTAATGATATCAGCTCATTTGTTTAATAAAAACTTGTTAGATTTGTAATATGTGCTTTGATGTACAAACTATCTTATCTGAGGATGGGTAGCTGTGGTTTCTTCTGAGTGCTTTCAAACCAGTCAAAATTTTTGTAGGAACTCATGACGTCGACAGTATAAAGCTTGAAGACTGTGTGTTGAGTTGATTCGTAGTGCTTAATGAAGCATATAACATGATGCTGTTCTGCTTCATACATCTCAGTTCCACTAAAAGGAATAACTCTTTCCGTATCAGAACCGTACAACATTGCGCGTATGGATCCTGTTTCATCTTCAATTGCAATCGGCAGCCGACACCTAATTGCATAAAATTGTCAATTATAGTTCATGCATTTGAGTAAAATCAATTCATAGTGCAATCAGATATCTGATGCAATCTAAATAATTATTCAACCTCAAGAATCATTATGTTAGAACTTTGGCAATAAACACTTACCTAAGCGATTGTGTGTGTATTATTTGGAAACTGTAAGTTTTCATTTATTTACAAATTCTATGATTTCTATGATAATTTGCTAAATATATTTATTAATTATTAATTCCGATGAATTCTGTTGAGAGCATTAAAATGGAAACTAAAAACATGTAGAGAACCTCTAGATATTGTTGAAGTGGAATGGTTCGCAATTAGACCCTTAAATGAGAAAACAATGGCTCTTTGGTTGTCAACACAAACTTTTGCTAATTCTGGGGAATGGCTTCACATGAAAACACGTAAGCTTAATAAATTGTGAAGTAAGCAATTTAGTTATATCCTACATTTAATAGACAATATTGGCCATGTTGCATTGTTTAGAACAAGATAAGTTGTCAACAACTTGGCTATTAATGAAATATGATCTTAATAGGGTACTGTTGGGGAGCCAATGTATTATTCAAGCACATGCACTCCCTAATCAATGATGTCCCATTCAAGTGGTGTCTTGTGTTATTCAGTATTTGCAATGATATAATAAAGGTGAAGTTTTATTTGCAATTACACAAAAGATGAAGATTTTATGTGCAATCTATATATATATAATAAGAATTAACATTTTTAAAAAATAATAAATAAAAAATAGGGAATATTAATTGCATTCTATTTTTGATATGTTTTTTTAATTTTTTTAATAAAAAAACAAGTAGCATTTAATGCTAGCATAAATCATGTGATTTGTTATATAGATGCATATTTTAAATTTCAAACTTCAAACAAAACATGCCTAAATGTATTTTGAATTTTTTAGGGGAAAAATTTAGCAAACACGTTTAAGATTACATATAATACATATTTGTATATGTTATCTTAACATATAGGTTAATTAGTTTCATATCTAAACAATATATAAACAAATATAACAATTTTTTGTACAATACAGACAAATATATAAAGAATATATTTATACACAAATATAATAAACAATACAAACAAATATAATAACTTGTCACGTGTATATTTCGTACAATGCATATATTTATATATATTATCTTAACATATAAGTTTATTAGTTTCATATCTAAACAATATATATTTTAGGAACCTAAAGATCCATAACATTACTGACGTCATGTATATTTATAATATATTGTCACGTACATTTTACTATAATTGGTAACTTTTTTAAAATTATTTGAATAACTGGAGGTTGATTTGTAACTTAAATTTCAGATTCATTCAAACATTTAAAGGAAAATATCATAAGCAGATTTTTTTGATACATTTCATTTTATCTCAGCTTACATATAATCACATTCCTACCAAACATTAAATTTTCTTATATCTTTTTAAATTAATTACATCAATAAATAATATTAATATACATTACATATTTATCATTATATAACAAATGTATTACTTCTACAAGTGTTATAAATAATAATGACATTATATGATAATAGATTTTTTGATAGATTAATAATTGAGTATTATGATGAACCAAAATATGTAAAATTATTATAATTTTGTATTAAAAAATAAATATATATGTTAAAATATTATTTATAATAATATAAACGGGTCAGCATGCTAATATATTGTGAAAATAAAATCTAAAAAAAGAAAGTTCTAAAGTACGGAAACCCCGTGCATCGCACGGGATTCTCACTAGTTTATTCTAATCAATAGAGTGTAATCTATCTATATATAATAAAAATTACTATTTACCAAAAATAGTAGCAAAAGAATAGGTCAGAATTTAATGCAGTCTATAAATAGTAAGTTTTATTATTTTTTTTATTTTTTTCTTTAAAAATCATATAGCATTAAATGTTACTTTAAATTTTGGGCTTTAGTTCATGTCATTATTTAAAAAATAAGGTTAAGATTTATTAAGTGCGTATGTTTTTATTTTTATTTTTTTCTTAGAAACAAAGAGCAACATTAAAATCTCGGTCTCTATGTTTATAAAATCTCAATTCAAGATATAACAAAAATTTTAGATTCTCGGTCTTTATATTTGTGCCTTTAAAAAAATATTGAACACTAAAAAATATTCTTTAAATTGCATAATCAATCAATTAATTCTATTTTTTTTAAAATTACTATGTTTATTTTTTACTAATATGCATAAAGTAAAAACAATTAATTCATCTTTAGATATATAATTTATAATCTTAATATGCTATCATTTGGTGTAGACATTTATTATACGAATCATAAAATATTTTTATTTCATAAAATCAAATATATTTAAAGAAAATAAGAAAATTTCTTCGGATCAATCGAGCGATTGAATTAGGGTACTGTCCAGGTTGATTGTATTACTTTTAGGTGATATTTAAAATAGTTAAAAAATTTGACACAACGTGGTTGGTCCCAAGTGACTAAGTTATGTAACAGTTCGACCACACCAAATCGATTATTAAACCTAAATATAATTTTTATATTGAAAATATTTTATTACGTGAATGTGATGTAGTCAAACTTCAAATAATCGACTGGTGTTGACGGATTCGAGAGCAAATATTTTAATAAAGCGAACTAGACTGGTTATAAACCAGTGCTCGATCCATCCGGTCGGACTGTGTCCAACCCGGTATTCAAAAACAATGAATAAATCATGATTAATGTTATATATATATTTAATTTATAATACAATCATAATATTGTTTTTCCGTGCATTGCACGGGCCACGCACTAGTTAAGCCTTTATAATTTTAAAAGTTATACTAAGAATGAATAAAAACAAGTGCTTGGATACAAAATATCTAAAAAAAATCTAAATATTTTTAACTCAACCATTTTTTTTAACTCAATTTTAACTCAAACTCACTACCATCATTATTATCAATATAATTAAATAATATCAATTATTCATTCTTACACATCACATCAACTTTAATTCACTATTCATCCACTCACATAATTTTAACTAACTATCACTTCGAATCTCCTCTCTTCTACTTTTACATTAAATCAACTTTCATCATTTTATTTTAAATATTATTTTAATATACTCATTAACAACTAATTATACCACCTTTTTCAAAATTAACCAAACCAAACCAAAAAAATCCAAACAAAACTAAAACTTTTTAATATCAATACATAAATAAGCCCGAATCACCAAAAAAAATTGACAAGGACTAGAATTCCGAACCACCAAAAATTGAGGAGGATTAGAACTCAACCATAGTAGTATGAAATAAGTTATGCATTTATATATAACAACTATGGATACGGGAGAATATTAATGTGACCGTGTATAGAACATATCAAATTGTATAATGTGACCATATAGAAAACATATGTTAACTACATCAAACTATATGCAGGGGAACGATAATGTGAAATATATAAAAAACACAGAGAGATGTCAATATAACACAAACATATATGCTTGGATCAAATTATATAATTATATATGCTTGTAGGGGAACATATATTTTGTTTCCATCTTGCTCATCTTCCTTTCATATACTTGTACTAGAAAACAATAATTATATAATTCCAATCCTTGTGGAACTCGGATGTATACATATTCGAGGACTATATATAAATCATATGACTTACCCAACCCTCGCACATCTTCTCTCGTTAGGTTTTTTTTTTTTTCCATCGATTCAAGTTTACTACAAGGTATTCTTATATTTTCCTAAGTTTGAGGTCTACAAGGTTTATGCTTTTGTTCTCCGTTTTGAGGTTGTTGCAAGATTCAAATTTACAAATTTTTTAGTTGATATTTTGTTTGATTTCATTGCCTGATTTGCTCGTTATGAACTTCTGTTGTAATAAAGTTTTTCACTTTTGTGAACCGAGTTCGGTTGTGAGTCGAGCAACGAAAGGTGTTTACTGTTTGGTGTAGATATTCAAGAAAACCGAGCATCATATATGTGCCTAAACATAGGATTTGGATTGTAGAAAAGAAAATAAAAGAAAGCGTAACAACACGAAAAACAATAGTTCAAAGAATGTCAAATGAAAGAAAATTATCGTGTTTAATCTATCAGTAGAGTTCAGTTTTTCTTTTTCTTTTTCGAAAAAAAAAAAAATAAAGAGTATAAGGTTTATATCTGTATGAAAGAACCACGTGCTCATCCCAATACATTCCAAACAATTGCCTGAATAATGGCACGTTCTCGTTTATAATCAATACATGGAAGAAGAATACCAATTATTTGATAAATATTATACATTATACGTTTTCAGCATTCACATTGGGTTTTAGTAATTTTGACAAATATTATACATTATAAATTCTCAGTATTCAAGTTTTATACATTCAAGATATTAGGCGTCAATATGAGAATTGCTAACTAGCTGCTCAAGATATTAGGCATTTTCTTGATTTTGTGACAGATAAATACCAGCGATTGGAGAGAAAAACAAATAAAATAATATATTTTTCTCTTGTCTTCATTATAGGGCAATAGTGTTTATATCATAACACATTTAAAATTAATATTATAATGTTTTAATTGCTAATTTAACTTTATTATTAACGCAAGCATGGCCAATTGGGCTGATCTCCCTCCCGAGCTCCTTGACCTGATCCTCTCCAACCTATTTGCCGGAGACCGCCACAGTTTCAGCCTCGTCTGCCGGCCATGGAACAGAGTCGCCGCATCCTCACCCCACCGGTACTCGCCGTGCCTAATTGACTACCACCCGGGCACGCGCACGTGGCGGTTCCACCACCCGCACGGCAACTTCTTCTTCCACGAGACCTTCCCGGAGCTCCCGAAGGATGCCGAGATACGCTGCTCCCGGCACGGCTGGCTGCTCGTCTCCCGGCCCGACTCCACCCTCTTCTTCTTTGACCCCTCCAACCGCCGGTCGATCGAGCTCCCATTCAGAACCCCTCCCAACCTCACCTCCATCTCGTTTTTCCATCCGCCCACCTCCGAGGATTGCACGGTCTTGGGGATCCACACCATAAGTTACAAAAATGTGGTAGAGATTCACGTGCTAAGGCGCGGAAAAAACGGGTGGTCGTCGGGCGTCGAGCACAAAACAGCATCAAGTTTCTTGTTGTCGCGTGGGGCCCCGATTCTCCACCGAGGGCTCGTCTACTTCTCGGATTTGAAAGGAAATGTCGCGAGGTTCGACATGTCCGAACGGCGTCTCGACGTGAGTTACAAGTGCTTTCGATGGGGGCGTGTCCGAAAGGGTTATATAGGAGAGCACTACTTGTTCAAGGTGAAGGGGCTCGACGAGCTTTTCGGGGCGTTTGCCTTGGGAGACGAGCGCAAGGTGAGAGTCTATAGGCTCTTGGAGGAGTCGATGAGGTGGGAATTAGTGAAGGATTTTGGGGACAAAGTGTTGTACCTTAGCGCATTTTCGTCATTTGGGGCCACGGCTCGTACGGAAGCCACGGCTAACACAATCCGGTTGCCCAAATTTTACGGCGGCAGTGCCGTTTTCTACACTTTGAGGGACGGGAAGTTTCAGTCGGACGATGGAAGATACTCGTGCGAAGATGCGCTTTGCCTTACGAGATTGGATTTTGCCACGTGGGTGATGCCTGCACCAATCATCCCGTCGAATGACCATATTACTACAACGACGTGGATTTGAATTTTTATTCATTGTTTTTGTCTTAGTTTTCTAATAATCCTTAGAAAATATACTATTGTTTTTGTTTTTTGTTTCTAATAATTCTTAGCAAATATATTATTGTTTACTATTTAAAATGAATCCTTCATCCATAAGACTCATTATTCTGTATTTAATTATTTTCTTCTATATTCAATATTGATATTCGTCAAAATATTATTAATTTATTATATTAAAATCTCGGAAAAAATACAAAATTAATAAATTTTAACATAAGTTTATAACTTAATTCATTTTAAGTGTTTTATAATTTTAAACCTTATAGTAATGATGAATAATAAAAAAATCCGAACCAAAAAATTTGACAAGGACTAGAATTTTGAACCACCGAAAATTGAGGAGGACTAGAACTCAACATAGGAGTATGAAATAACATATGCATTTATATATAGCAAGGATGGATACGGAATATTAATGTGACCATATATAAAACATATCAAATCATATAATGTGACCATATATAAAACATATGTTAACTACAACAAATGATATGCAGATGAAATTATATGTAGGGGAACATATATTTTGTTTCCAATCTTGCTCATCTTCCTTTCATATTCTTGTACTAGAAGACAATAATAATTATATAATTCCCCATCGAGAATCCTTGTGAAACGGAACTCAGATTTATACATATACGAGGACTATAAATCATACGACTTTCCGAACCCACAACTCTTGAGAGTAATTTATGGAGAGAAAAACTCAAGTTCCTCTGCTCATGACCTCGCACACCAGAGCCCACGACAAACATTCTATCTATAGCCTCTCCGGCAACTGGTCTCGCACGGTCTCCATCGCCAATTTCTCAGGCAAGCGCGTGCTCGGCTCCAATCACGGCTGGCTGGCCATGGCCAACCCCCTCACCGACGAGTGCCTCCTCTGGAACCCAGAGCTCGCCAAGCAAATCCCTCTCCCCCGACTCCGCGAGTCGTCTCACTACAACAGATGCGTCCTCTCGAAACCCCCGACCGAGCCGGGATGCCTCGCCGCCTTTGTCGGCTCGTTTGGCTTCAATCTGTCCGTGTGCGTGGTCGGGGCCCACGAGTTCGCCAACCGGTCCCTAATGTACTTCAAGACCACCTCCACAATGGTGGCCATCGGCGCTCTCCACGAACAAATTTACGGTGTTGTCTACTCCATGCTCGACGGCTATCAGCTCGTGACCGTTGGTCTGGTCGACGGGCCAACCATCACAATCGTGCCGTTAATGTCGGCCGACGGGTCGGGCCTCTGGATACCGCCCCTATTGGAACGGAGATGGATTGGCCTGCATCCCGGCTACCTGATCGAGTCGCCAGCTGGCGCGGGCGAGCTCCTCCTTGTCATGAAGGTGTTCTTATGTGGCTACCATGCGGATAAGGAGAATGATGGCATGGTGTTTCGTGTTTTCCGAGTAGATGTGGAGCGGAGGGAGTGCGTGGAGCTCGACCAAATAGATGGGATGACGGTTTTCATCGGCTCCTGCGGTAATGGGTTCTGCCGTCGGTCGGGCTCTGGGGGAGGAAGCAAGCCCAATTGCATATACTATGCCAACAAAGAGGGCCGGCTGGTTTATGTGTATGATTTGGGGGATAGGAGCACAACTCCGCTCTTGCTCTGTCCCGATGCAAAGCCACGTGGATCCACTAACTATTGGATTGACCTCCCGGGCACTAGTACCTGATTCTCGAGTATTAATTAATTACGGTTCAATGAGATATAATAATATATGAATGAAGATTATTTATAAATGAATATATGTTTTTCTTTTAGAATGTTATTGGAATGTTAATTTTTTTTTTCCCCTTAAAAGTTAATGGGAAATGGCAGGAAGATGAAATCTAAGTCGTTAAAGGACATTGATAGATTATCGATACTCCAGTAACTTACTTATATAGGTGTACGGCTCTACGCGCAATATAGCATAGCATATTACTACTTGCAATACAAGCTCAACTTTGTTTGTTTGTTTGTTCATGATACTATTTTTTCATGTGTGCCTGAATGAAAGATTCAACTTATTTCTACTTATATAATTTATACAACCACCTCAACTCACAACTCATAAAGCACGATTGTCATCTGGACTCTCAACCAGTAGACACTATGAACAATTCAATCAGGACATGTGATGCTAGTTAACCTTGAAATTTCAAGAATTTTACCCATATAATCGTGTTCAAGGAGTTAAATTAACAGAAGCATCAGGACATGTGATGCTAGTTAGCCTTCTTCTTTTTGAAAAAAAAAAGTATGACAACAAAATACATAATTTTATTCATAAGAAAGCATCACGGAATCATCAAAGGACTAAATTCAAATCTCTAAACAAGTCCAAGGAAAACAAATTTCTAAAATCTGTGTTAACAGATCCATAATGCCACATGAGACTTAATTCAATCCGACAAACATCCCTACAAATTCTTTATCATCATAAAAAAAGAAAAAAAAAAAAAAAGAAAAAAAAAAAAAAAGCCACTAACTCCAAGAAGAATGCTCCAGATCAAGGTTTGTATTGTGCCAAAAACAGCTACCATTTTTTCTAAGAAGGATTGGACTTGGGCCACAAGGCCCGAATGGCAACACCCTGACAAAGTAACAACCATTTCCACTCGATCGGGTTATATTCCGGATTGTATCATTTGTTCAAATAACTCAATACCAATTTCACTTTGAAGCAACAGGTGTACAAAACCGTATCTCTGGTATCATAGATAATTTTATTAGATATTTACAAATTAAGGCCACATTTCTCTTGTTATATGTAAATTATAGGAAATATTGATATAACTTCAATTTAATAATACATATCGAATAATCAAAACAAAAGGCAGAAGTTCATAAAATAGGTATGATAGATAATTTTATTAGATATTGACAAATTAAGGCCACATTTCTCTTTGTTGGAGTAGAATACCCGGCGTTCCAATCAGATTGGATTTATTTCTACTTGTAAAAAACAATTTATTGGAATTATATTATTAAATCATTGTTTTATCTTATGTTTTTGCATTTATCCTATATTTGTATATATGATAAAGTCCTTAGATCATTAATGGCTATAAGGCATGGTTGCGCATTTGATGGTGATCATGGAACATATCTTTAAAGCTGTGATCTTAAATACATTCCAAGTCGTTGAATATTTCGAGATGGGATATCGAATAATCCGAAAGACTTGTACATATGATGTATACTTGTTTGACAAGAATGTTGCATTCCATCAACATTAGCGTGGATCGCAAATACATATATGTGGGTGCTTGTTAGAGAACAAGTTCACTGAACATGACCGTATGAAAATTATGAATGAAAGTTTATTATGTCGAATAAGAATTTTCATGTTACAATAGTAGTACATGATTGATCCTTAGACTTGAGGCACGATAGTAACTTTGTGCATATTATATTTTACTTTGATTTATCCTTTTGATTGCTAGCACAGTCGTATAAAGGGATATTTTGGGTATTATATTAATATGAATGGAAGTTTGTCAGTGGCCAACAAAGGATTCGACATTTATGAGATAAGTGAATTTCCTATGTGTTTCATAGTTTGTAATTCAAAGTCCTTGGCCAAGGCGGGATGAATAGAGATTCATATATGAATTATTAAACTTGAAATGGAATCATAGTTATTAAATCAATTTGGGTTTCGACTAAATCATACCCAAGATTTAATCGAGAAATTGGATGTCGAAAGGATTTTACATGTATGGACTTGTAATCGAAAATGTTTACTCGTTATTCACTTAATACTAGATTCATGCTACTTGCTAGATGTTCGCATGATATGTGGGTTCTTGAATTAAGGAGTTAATTCAAAGAATAAGAATTAATTTGATTAATTCAAATTACAAGGAGTTGTAAACTCACTACTAGTATTAATAGTGAACCTAAAAAGGTCACACCCAATTTTGAATGTAGATCATTTGTAAGTAGTATTTCTAAAGAGTTAGAATTAATTGACAAGTATTAATTAAATAATTTGATTATTTAATTAATTCTAATTTTGATTAGATATCAATTAAAGGAATATATTAAATTAATCAATTTGATTGATTAATTATATTTTGGATATTAATTAAGTAATTAATGGAATTACTAAATTAATAGTTGGATTTTAAAATTAGATTTTAAAATTTAAATCCATATTATAATATGATTATAATAAGAGGAGATTTTATAAATATGTGAAATAATATATTTTGATTAATTTTTATCAAAGATTAAAATAATAAATAAAATATTGTTAGATGGGATCTAATGACATTTTTTTATTAAAATCATTTTAGATCTAGATGCCATCTAATTTGAATAAAATAATAATTTTAAAAATACAATATGACATCTTGTGATCTAAATGTTTTAGCATAAATAGGTGTACATATGTGATGTACAAATGACACACTTGTATTAACAAGAAAATTGAGAGAGAAAAATCACAAGAGTTGTAAATCAAGAAGTGTTCTTGAACTTAGAGAATTATTTCCATATCAAGAATAGTTCTTGAAAATTTTAATAAAGATTAAAATTATAATCTCCTCTAAAATAAATATTTCGATACTAATTGAACAAATCGAGAAGTTTCTACTAGCGAAGAAACTAGTTCTCGAGATTGAATTACAAAAAGGTGGATACTTTTAGAGGGGAGACACTTGGATCCCTCGAGTGAGTAACAAGAGACGGTGAAAGTCACATACAACCAAGAATTGATTTCATCAATCATCGTCGTATAAAGAAGGAGTTCAAGATAAAAGATAATTTTTGAAATTACTTATTACAAATCAAAATCGTATTTATACGTGATTTTAAAAGATGCCGATCGTAACAATCGCTATTTGAACCGAGGGATTTAGTATTTATTAGATAAATGCTTATTTATTTTGTTTTATTTCCGCTGCGTTTTACCCCGTACGGTATAGCGAACCCAACACTCTTGTTATATGTAAATTATAGGAAATATTGATATAACTTCAATTTAATAATACATATCGAATAATCAAAACAAAAGGCAGAAGCATCACCATGTCATTTATATTTCCAGAGATCCCCTGCACCAAGAAAAGCCCCAATCAGAAACACCACCAAAATGAAAACAGAAGAAATAAAGAAAAATAAAGATGATATATGAGATAAACATATCTATTTGAATCTATTAAATAGCAAAACGTTGTCTTTACTAAGGCTAACATCCAGAGATCAATAGATTATATCAAATTAAGAGATCCAAAATTTGCATCACAAAGAACAAAAGACAACAAATAATAAGTACAAATTGAATCGCTATGCAACCTTGTCCATTTCGTGATTCAAATGTCTCCTATAAAAAAATCTGCAACCTTGTCCATTTCGTGATTCAAATGTCTCCTATAAAAAAATCTGCAACCTTGTCCATTTCGTGATTCAAATGTCTCCTATAAAAAAAAACCCAATCTTTTTGCAAAAAAATCCAATCATGCAATAGATCAAATGTCTCCTATGCAAAAAAAATCAATCTTGCTTGTGCATCAAATGTTTCCTATGCAAAAATTTCAATCTTGCAATAGATGGACATGAATCAAATGTATGAAAAAAATTCAATCTTGCAAATGTCTCCTATGAAAGATGGATCTAAAAATCTGTTCAAATGTAAACTACAAAAAT